GACAAAATACCCCATATAGTTTCAATTTATGTGGCAGGTGTAAGAGCTGGTGAATCTTCCTATGACACCAAGTATGGAGTGTATGTTGATACCGATACTGGAAAACTAAGTATGGGAAATACCGAAGTTCGATTTCACGGCAAAAATATCACATTTTCCAGAAATAATAAAAAACTTGGAACCTATAAAGGAAATCCTCAATTATATGATTTGCTCTTTTTAAAATTCCCCCCTAATGTAAGTTTTGGTGGATATGGGATTAACGATGAAAATAAAAAAATATTTGAAGAAATATTATATATAACGAGTGCAGCTTATAAAAACTATGATGTAGCATCAGGATACAATTATAGTAGAACAAAAAAGTATACTGAAGTCATAAAACCGTTGTTGCATCACAGAATGACAACTCGATCTATACAAGGCTCCGGTATAATACCGAATAGAAAAATATACACTGGAAAAACGGTAGACTACATATATTGGAATAAACCTAAAGAATTAATCAATCGCTTATGTTTACTGTGGAGTTCTAAAATGGCTGGTCATTCAGGACACGAAAATGAGATACTATCCATAATAGAGGAATTGAAAGAACAAGGAATTATATATTAAAAAAAAATGAAATTACACATAATTTACAATACATTAACAAAGCATTATTTTAGTTTTAGTCAATTGTAATTCGAACACTATAGAACGATGGGCTCCATTGACAAATTTGGACAACGAAAAGTGGCTAGTTGTATAAGTTCCCGCGGTCCGCAAGGTGTTGGATTCAAACTTACGAATGAAAAACAGTATGATATTCAAGGTAAACAATNACATCCTCCAACAAACTTATTATTTTAGCTTTCACTTGACTAAAAAACTCATTAAAGTCTGTATGTTTTGATTCACTATACACCCTGTAACTTATTATTCTGCACTTAAATGTCGTATTATTAATTTGAATGCCATCAGATTTTGGAGTACAAAACAATGTTTTATGTTCCAATGACCTTCGATGCGCATGTATTTGACTCCTGGGTATTTGCTTATCACAACAATTGTTTGATTGCTCGCTGATTGCTCATCATGTTGTAATTTCAACCGTTTGCCATAGGTTCACTGGGAGTACAAGATTCCGTTTCATGGCGACGCAAGTTGTCACTACGCGTAAAGGTTTTACCACAGGTACCGCACAAAAGCATATTTCCTTTTTTGTTACTATATATCACTCTGAGATCGTTATTCACAAATGAATTTCATAAATACTCCATTCCTTATATATACAGCTGTTCAAGCATGCGTTGTATTCATTCCAATATCACCCCAATATCAAAGCTCAAGCTCATATTCTCAAGGTGACATTTTCAAGCAATATTTATCTCTAACATTTAACGGAATATATTTAAAATCAAGGTCATATAACATGCTGTATGTATCATTCGCGCCAAACAAATTTAATTTCAAGGTTAACTGCAACGTTTTTAAAACACCAGCAAATTTGATGTTTGAAATATTATTTAGCTCGAATCGTAGTAGGCATGAGCAAAAGTATTGACCGTTTTGCTTGAAGGTTTAGTTACATAACAAACCGATAACAACAGCGCCATATTTAAATTTTATTTTAGCGGCGAACGTATGCGTGACATAAATATCGATCGCAGTCTGTTCAAGGTTAAGCTGTGAAAAATATTTTGAATTTTTTTTTAACCGCCGACATAAATAGGCGTGGTTATTTTATTGATCGTTTCGTTAGTTACTCATTCGTCCGTTCAATAAATGGATGTGTATACGTGGGCATCAGTTAAATAGACATATTTCAATGAAGGTCATCTTCTCATATAAAATTCCTCATCTCTCACATATCATACAAATCTAATTTCAATGTTAACAGCAATGCAAAGGTCAAATGAAAATCACCACCCTACGATATCTTCTTTGAAAATTCATGTACCAGATACATTTAAAATTATTTTAACAATAACCCATAACTGGTACTTGTAAATTGATTATTTCTAATGCACAAGGCGCAAAATTATTTGCAGGGCTGCATGTGACAAACATTTGAATTAAAATCCCAGTAAACAATATCCGCATTATATGTAATAGCACTGTAAAAAGTTTTATTATGTAGTGCAACATAAAATATTGTATACATTTTAAAAACTTATATGTAATAACGCGTTAATAAAAATCATTTTGGTAAAAACATTTATTAATGGTTTCAAGGTTAAGTTAGTCATATAGCTTTTCGCGCGTTTTTCCTCTCATTGATTATTTTTGTTCGTCCGTTGAATGTATTGTATTCGTTCAAGGCCGTGAAATATTTGAATTTTTTGTCGTGTAGGCGTGGTTTATAAAATATCGATCGCTTCTAGTGTCATTTGAAGGTTATATTATATACTTGAATATTATTTTAACCGACATTTTAAGTAGGTGTGGCTATTTTATTGATCGTTTCGTTAGTTCTTNCCTTATGTGACATCATTTTGAATTTCCCCGCCAAAAATGCTGCGCTCTGATTGGCTGGCGGGGAAGGGAGGGGGAAGGGAAAAGGTGGAGGAGTGGGGGTAAAATTCGTCAAAAACTGCTAATATGAACCTTCATAAGAAAATACATGGGATTTTGGCGTGATACGCCCATAGCATATCTACTCCTAACCATCTTCCATACTAAACGAGGCATGTTTTGGTCATGCAAAAGAGCTATGTCACCGATTTTAAAAGATGAAGATTTCATGTTAAGATTGGTATGTGCAGATTTCAACGACTGAAGATAATCGGTGGACCATCTATCCCAAAATTTTCTAACAAGCTTGTTTCGTAGCTTCCACTGTTTAAGGACATCATCAAATTTCTGGTTCTGCGTAACTTTTATCCAATATTCTTCACTTTCTTGTAGTTCTTTTGCTTTTACATCTTTATCAATGAATAATTCTTCAGATTTTCTTAAACGTTTTATAAATCTTAATACGTAAGAAGGTACAGGTAGGTCCGTATCGCCAAAACTTTAATTCGGTAAGAACCGTTACTTTAAGTCCTCTTGTCAATAAGTCTGCTGGATTTTCGGACCCAGGGCAGTGTCTCCACTCGCCAACAGTCAAATTTTGAATTTCGGTTACACGATGACAAACGTAAGGTTTCCATTTGCTGGCTCTTCCATTTATCCAGTGTAACGTAATTTTGGANCAGGGCAGTGTCTCCACTCGCCAACAGTCAAATTTTGAATTTCGGTTACACGATGACAAACGTAAGGTTTCCATTTGCTGGCTCTTCCATTTATCCAGTGTAACGTAATTTTGGAGTCTGTCCATAGAATATAAGATTTCACGTCAATATTCAAACTTTTTAAGATGAAATTCTGCAATCTAGCTGCACAGAGAGCTGCTGTCAACTCTAGTCTGGGTAGTGTTAATGTTTTATCACCCCTTTTATTTATTGGAGCCACTCTGCATTTTGCTACTGAAATGTTGCACATTACTTCGTTATTTTCAATAAGCGTTTTAAGATATGCCACTGCTCCATAAGCGAGAGGACTAGCATCGGAAAATACATGAAGTTCGGTGAAAGAGGCCGAAGCTTTCTGACCTACACATCTCGGTATTGTCAGATTCCATAGTTCCTGTATTTCATGAACCCATTCATTCCATTCACTAGCAAGATTTTCCGGTAGCACATCATCCCAGCCGTAGTTTAATTTCCAAACTTTCTGCAGTAGAATTTTTGCTCTTATGACATATGGTGATGCAAAATCCAATGTATATGACCCAGTGGGTCATATACATTGGACACTATCTTCAGCATATTACGTTTCGTAGCAGGTCCTTGTCCGCCATCTTGAATACATTTCAATATATAAGATATATCTATTCCTATTTCATCCAGATCAACGCATCATAGGAGTCCAAGTAGCTTTTGTGTCATCTTATTAGCCGTTAGTTCATTTCGATTTTTTCTCTTAACTTAATATTGTTAGACGACCATTTCCGTAGGTTCATATTAGCTTTAGACATAATTAGCTTTCCTTGCTCATAAATTTGACAAGCAGAATCTATATTGTCAGCTGTACGACTAAATCATCGACGTAAAATGATTTCAAGAGAATATCACTCACTTGTTGGAATTCTACAGGTTGTGTCGTTAAATGCTTTCTCAAAGTTGCCGCTAGTAGGAAGGGACTGCATGTAACGCCAAACGTTACTCTCTTCATACGATACTCTGTCAGATTCGGTAATTTTGACGAGTCAGTCACGGGTTTATCATACCACAGAAATCTGTGATAATTGCGTTCGGATTCATTTAATTCAATTTGCAGGAAAGCCTTCTCTATATCAGCTGTAAGGCCTATTTTTCCAATTCTGAAATTGATTAAAATCGTTAGAAGCAATGGTATTAAATTTTCACCGGTGCACAACAAATTATTCAATGACGGAAAACCTGGCATATGTGCAGAGGCGTCATATACACAACGAATACGAATTGTCTCCTTGTCATCTCTATAGACATGTCTATGAGGCATATAGTAAGCTTCGCTTTCTTTAGTTAATAAGAGTGCTAACTCTGAACAGTCATTTTTCAAATATTCTCCTATCACTCGGTCATATTCTAGCAATGTCTCATTTCGGATAAGCTTCTTTGTTAAGGATTTGACTCGGTTCAAAGCACCAATATAATTCGAATCAAGTTTCCTAACTTTTTCGATCCACGGTAAGTTTACTGTATAACGACTATTCTTGAATGTTATATTTTCATTTATAAATTTGTCTGTGTTAAATTCTATTTGATCTGTAGGCTGCTTTATTCCGATAGTCTCCAATTCCCAGAATGTCTTTATGTCAAAGTCACTATTATCATATGTCACCTGTACGTGAAGTATATTGACCATATTTGTTGCAAATGTATACTCGTTACTACCACCTTGAATACTCCAGCCAAATTTCGTATTAGTAGCCGTTAATGACGCTGAGAGCCTTTTCACTTCTCCAGTCACAATCTACCAATACGCGTCAGCTCCTACTAATATGGATATGCCTGGTAAATCATCCGAATCACTTGAACACGCGTCTGCCAGCTGATGCTGTCTACTGAAGTTTTGCAGAAGGGGATCCGACGTAGAAGGTGCTACCAGGGAGTCACAACAAATTTCCGGTACTTCCACAGCGCTCAATTTGATGGGTTCACTATTGTCATAAAGCCCTTGCAACGTCAAGGCCACTCGTTTGCACAACCGCGCGGGTGCCATTTCACTTTTTCTGAATGTCATAATCGCGATTTTGTGAGTTCCTGTCACCGGTAAGTTCAGTTCCCTCGACACGCACTCTTTTATAAAAGTCAGCTGACTGCCTCCATCTAAGACTAACCGTACAAGTACAGCATCACTTTTATTCTCATAGCTTCCCAACACGATACATGCACAAGCAATCTGAAGGTAAATATTGCTCACTTTTTCATTAGTAAACAAATTGGTAGACGTAGATGCTGTATGTTCGTTAAGGTTACTTTGTACATCGTTAGTGCTACTCTTTGCTTTTATACAGGGTGTCTCATAATTAGCTGCCAACCCTTAACAGGCCGATTCTATGATCAAAACTAAGTAAAAAAGTTCATATGAACATGGGTACGGAAATGCTTCCTAAGGGCACAGGGACCCATTGAAGAGGGAGGAATGGAAATCATTTTTTTGCAATATCTCTCAATCGCGTTGTGATAAATGAATGAAATTTGGTATACACAGCTAAATTTTGATGAGCAATTTGATGGACTAATCCATTTATTTCCACAAGGTCCATTGGGGTGGGTACGGGGG